CGCGATCCTCCCAAACACTCCTGAGGCTTAGCACTGCTCAGGAGAATCCAAGTTCAAGGCCAGCAAGCTGCTGACTCAGTGAGAAAAGGAGCTTGCTGACAAGCTAGGGACCTGAGTTCGATCCCTGGAACCCACATGGTAGGAGAGAACTGACTTCTGCACACCCCTGCTGCAGCGTATACACACACTCAAATGCCATACATGCATGCATGCGCATGCACACACATACACACAAATAACTGTAATATAATAAAACCAGTTTTAAATTTTATCGTATTGAGTTCAAGGCCAGCCTGGAACTCTGTCTCAGAGAAGAAGAGGGAGAGAGGGAGAGAGAGAGAGGGAGAAAGAGAGAAAGAGAAAGAGAGAGAGAGAGAGAGAGAGAATTTAAAATTAAATTCCAAAAGTACGTTTACTGAATGACTGGCTCTGGAACCTTATGGGATGTGGGGCCATTTGTCATTCCCCAGCCAGGAGCAGGTCATGGCAGGAACACCCTGGCTCCTCTGAGAACAGTTAGTTTCCTTTTCCTTTGTTCCTCTGTGTGCTCACTGCATGCTACCCCAGCTGCCCAGCTGGCTGGCTCTTCAGGTGTCCCCTCCCACCTCTGGCCCCAGCTGACTGGGAAGAAGACAGTGCCTGTGAGAATAGCAGGGACTGCCCACAGATCTGGCCTGGCTCCATCCCTTTCATCTTGGCCTAGCCTGTGTTCTCTTTACACAGTGACGACGCTCGCCTGACATTCAAAAAGCATGACATAATGTAGTTAATCCGAGGTCAATATGACCTGGGAACTTTCAAAAACAAAGACCCAAAGACCCGGGGAGCTGCCTGTTTTTCTGTAAGGTACCTTGAATGCACACAGTCATGGATGTGTGGGGGAATGCGAGGGGGAAGGGTCTGACCTAACGGTGACAAACTGAGGAGGCCTACAGGGCATGTCTGTTTAGATGCTCCTTGGCCTCCGCAACATTCCTCCTTCTGCATGTGGGGCAGGACCCTATGAGTGCCTTGGTTGACTTGTTTCTTTGTTCCTTTGCGGGGTGGTGTGTGTGTGTATTCTTAATTTCTTTTCTATTGCTGTGAAGAGACACTATAACCATGATGACTTAGAAAGTATTTACTGAGGTTCATTGTTCCAGAGGGTTAGAATCTGTGACCATCATAGTGGGAAGCATGGCAGAAGGAAGGCAGGCATTTATAATGTTGCTGGAGCATTTATAATTAATAAGTCTCTATGTGGTTATTTGGGAGCTGGTTGGTGGGACAGAAAAGTCCACCTACGTGCATCCTTAATCCCAGCTTCCCTACAGAAAATGGGAAATGGAGAATGGAGAATCTCCCAGATTTTCTGAGTACCTGGTGTACTCAGAAAACACAAGAGCAGGGCTGCCTTAAAATCAAGGTGGAAAGGTGAGGATCAACTCAAGGAAGCTGGTCCTCTTACCTCTACACAGGAGCCGTGACAAGCTTGCCTACATATAGACACAGAAACTAAATAAACATAATCAGAGATTCAACATTACAGGATATATCCATGTATGGGAACATCACATTGTGCCTTGTCAATGTGTATAATTTTTATATCAGTTAATTAAACTTATATAATAAACCATAATTAGACAGATGTAAAGTCAAATACCTGTAATCCCAGCCCTTAGAAGGCTAGAAGAGGGCACTCTCAAGTTCAAGGCCAGTCTGGGCTGTAGAGAAACTTTCTGACTAGGAACAAAATAGAATAGCTGTCCATCACAATGGCAGACTTGTAGCTGGCCTTCCTCCTGGACTGAGGGGCTGTGCTTTCAAACTGGGCTTTAAACTAGGCCTGTCCCCCCCAAAAAACTCCTCCCATCTACCTAGAAAAAAAATCCTTTCTCTCTGAGGAACTGTGGGGTTGTCTGGATGTTACCATGTGTCCACTAAGGCATTTTTTATTTTGTTTTTGTTTTTGTTTTTTTTTAAATATTTATTTATTAATTATGTATACAATATTCTGTCTGTGTGCATGTCTGCAGCCAGAAGAGGGCACCAGACCTCTTTACAGATGGTTGTGAGCCACCATGTGGTTGCCGGGAATTGAACTCAGGACCTTTGGAAGAGCAGGCAATGCTCTTAACCACTGAGCCATCTCTCCAGCCCCTTGTTTTTGTTTTTGTCTTTTTGCAACAGCACTTCTCTGTAGCTTTGGAGCCTATCCTGGAACTAGCTCTTGTAGACCAGGCTGGCCTCAAACTCATGGAGGTCTGTCCGCCTCTGCCTCGCAAGTGCTGGGATTAAAAGCATGCGCCACCACCACCTGGCTCCCACTGAGGCAGTTTTATGAGTTCCTATACGGCTTTTATCCTTCTGGAGAGCAGAGCAAGTTGCAGCTGTCCACTGAGAGGACCCACACCCAAGAGCCCAGGCATGGCAACTCCTTATCCTTCCAGTCGGCTTAGCACAAATGGAGGCTCAGCTGGGCAGAGTTTCTGCTAACTGTCCAGACATATCCAGACAGAATGTTCTCGAACTTTTTCTTTTTCTTTTCTTTCTTTCTTTCGTTCGTTCTTTCTTTTTTTTTTTTTTTTTTTTTTTTTTTGAGATAGGGTTTCTCTGTGTAACAGTCCTGACTGTCCTGGAACTCTCTTTGTAGGCCAGGCTGGCCTTGAACTCACAGTAATCCACCTCCCAAGTGCTGTGATTAAAGGCATGCTTGAATGTTCTTGAACTTTGGCTATCCCAGTAAGCAGAGGGCAAGTGACTAACTTCTTGTACATTGATGGTACAAAAGCTTGTATGCATCGTTGGTCATGTAGAAAACGCCAGGCACCATCCGGTCATTCGGAGGTTTACGTAGGCTCTGATAAAATCCTTTGCCAATGCTGGGGATGGAAGCGTGATAGACAGACACTATGACACTGAGCCCTGACCCTCTCCTTTTAGACTCTGTTGCCCAGGTTGAACTACTGGGCTCCAGGAGTCCTCCTGTCTCTAGCGGTTTCTGCTTTTCTAGCGGTTGAGGCTATTCAGCCATTAGCTTGAAAATCTTTTTCTTGATTTCTGTCTCCTGTCTTCCTTTACTTACCCAGGCTTCAAAACCATGGATGGAAGGAACGAACCAACTCCCCAAGCTGTCTTCTCAGCTCCGCACTCATGGTGTGTGATGTATCCACCCACCCCATAAAATAAAGAAATAAGAAATAAACATGGTATTACTTTGTAAACCTGGGCAGATTTTTATCTCATGATGTTCTTTCCTCAGCCTCCCAAGTACTGTTATTTTGCCGGATCCACTCACCATACCTACTACCTACTTTTTTCTTTTCTTTTCTCTCTCTCTCTCTCTCTCTCTCTCTTTTTCTTTTGCTGTTTCAAATGGCTTTATTTTTACTTGGCCCAAGACTTGAGAGGGGCTCCAGGGTGTTACAAAGCTGCCTAGTGGCTTCTTGAGAGGTTCGGGTGAAGGTCCTGAGGCCGGTTGAGGCAGAGCAGAGGTGGGAGCCCCTTGGAAGGAGAAGCCTCCTAGTCATGCTTGAGAGTGAGCAGCTCAAAGAGGTACTCGCCCAGAGAAGCCTGGGGCCCAGCAGCCAACCTGCAGAGGTTGGTCAGGTGGTTGCCCATCTTCTTGATGACCTTCACCTCCTCATCCAGGAAGTGGCTTTCAAGGAAGCCACAGAGTTTTACCCCACTCATCTTGAGATGGCTTCTGCACATTCTGAAAGGATGCACGGCCTTCGCGATCGTTTGGCGCCCTCGCGCTTCTCCTTGGCCAATTCACGAAAGAAGTGGCCTACGGCCTCCAGAGCCACGTCACTAGATCAAAATAGTAGTCCAGAGAGAGGTAGGTGTAGGTGTAGGAGGCCTGCAGGTGCAGGTTGACCAGGTGGTTTATGGCAGCCTCCACTTCGGTGGAATAATTCTGACAAATCTGGGAGGTCGTGGCTGAGACGCAGTCCGGAGCTACCTGCAAAGAGACAGTGCTGGCTTGTCCTAGGAGCTGAAGGCGGCGAGAAGATGGTCTCAGAGACTGTGACTGGAGAGGATGAGGAGAGGTGGAAGCTAACAAAGGGAGGCCCCTGGTCTGTTCCCTCCAAACACTGTTGAAGCAAGACACAGATCCACTGGATCTCCGAGGGCTGCCTTCTTTTATTTTTTTAAAATGTATTTTAATCAAGTCCCTTGAAATCCAATAAGCTTGAAGGAGAAATTTAACACAATAAGAATTGGGCTTTGAATTATTCCAGATTTATTTCTTTTATCTTATGTGTATGAATGTTTATTTATTTATTATGTGTACAATAGTCTGTGTGTGTGTGTGTGTATGCCTGCAGGCCAGAAGAGGGCACCCATCACAGATGGTTGAGTCACCATTTGGTTGCTGGGAATTGAACTCAGGACCTTTGGAAGAGCAGGCAATGCTCTTAACTTCTGAGCCATCTCTCCAGCCCTGTGTTTGAATGTTTTGCCTGCATGTATGTGTGTGCTCTGTGTGTGTCTGGTGCCTGCGGAGGACAGAGGAGGGCAGTAGGATCATATGTACATGGTTGTGAGCTGCCACATGGATGCTGGGAACCGAACCCATGTCTTCTGAAAGAACAACAGGTGCTCTTAACCGTGGAATCATCCCTCCAGGCCTCACCGTTTACACACTGGCCATCACAAGGATAAGGAGATAGGAATTGTACTAACCCTTGTACAAGGGCAGAAAGGAGGAGAGAGGCTGTCCCGGGGCAGACACCAGCTGTTATCACCCCAGCAGTTTCTGCCTGGCTGCCCGAGGCTCTCCTGACTGCAGGTGATCCTCACCAAGAACCACTTAGGCAGCCCATTGCCTCCAGGCTGCAGAATTTTCGACTTTCTGCTTGCAGCGCAGCTGCTGGCTGAGGCCTAGGCTGTGGCGGGAGCCTGAGCCTTGAAGCAAGAGCCAACTGCTAGACGCTGTCTCCTAGCAACAGGCTGCAGTCACGTGGCCGCGCGAGTTGGCCTCACGTGGCTCACCGCCAAGCCACGGTTGGAGCTGGCGCAACGTGACGGGCGGGGCCGGGAAGTTTGTTCCCGAGTTCGGAGCCCAGGAGTCCCCGCGGCCGTCGTGCAGGTGCCCTCCGCCGGGGTCGGGATGGAGCTGCCCGCCGTGAACTTGAAGGTGGCCGCGCGGCCGGGGCGGGCGGGGGTTCAGGAGCCTGGGAAACGGAGTCGGAGCAGAAGGGAAGGTGCAGAGCCCAAGGGAGGAGGCAGTGGACACCGAGAGGGACACCTGGGGACAGAGACCGACAGGGCCACCCCTCCCGGACAGACCCAGGCTGGCACGGGGCCCGGACAGCCCGGACCTGGGCTCCTCCTGTCCCCCAGCAGCAGGACAGGGACTCTTCTCCTCCTGAGAGGTCAGACCCCCTCCAGTGCAGTCCCGCTTCGTCCCTCTGTGTGTTGGCACAGGATAGGAGAAACCCAGTGTCCCCAAACAATTGTTTCTCCCAAATTTTCGCATGCAGCGTCCTTCTTTCATAGTTAAGAAGCAGGAACTACAGAAGTTTCTTAAAAGCAAAAAACCCAAAGCCTGTGCTGGGCCCCGGTCAGCGGGGCTGCCCACGATGTCTTCATTTCCCGGGTTCTTACTTTTTCTTTCTCAGCCCTTCTGGTTTGCAACAGAGGGGCTGGCCTCTCAGTTTCGGTCAGAGGGGCGTGGACTTGAATCTAAACCGGCCATCTTGGGCCTTGGTGCAGGCTCCTTGAAACCCTTAGACTCCCAGGTGTCAAAGGATTTAGCACCCGTTGGTGTCTGAGATCAAAGGGACCGACCGAAGAGTTAGGTGGTTTTGGAGCAGCGGTGTAACTCCACAGTTGGGTTAAGCTGTGACTTGCACTGCCCGGGTTCTCATTCCTAAGCTCCTAGCCAGCAGCTGGAGGGAGGTTTGATAGGCGCAAAGGAATGGGCATGGGCGGACCTCTTAGCTGCGGAGAGGTTTACGGGCTGCTGCAGGGCTTGTTGCTTTCGCTAGTGACTGTTGGAGCAGTGGAGGTCAGGTGGTGCCTTCCTTATTCTGCTTGAGCCTGCCCCCAAATAATTAAGAGGACAGCATTAGTCCTAGCGGTAGAGCATTTGAGTAACCCACACCAGGCCTGGACTTCATCCTAGTGCCACGCACAAACAATAATAATAAACCATAGGAAAGGGTGAGAAAGGAGGTGGTGTTTATGGGCCGATGTGTTTTATTCATTTGAACCAGGGTCTCGTGTAGTACAGACTAACCTTGGACTTCCTACGTAGCTGAGGATGACCTGAAACTTCTGATCCTCCTGCTTCTGCCTCTCCAGTACGGGGCTTATGCAGTCCTGGGGATGCAGCCCCGAGTTTCTTGCATGCTAAAGCACTCTGCCGACGGAGCCATGCCCCCCAGCTTGTGTTGCTTGCTGATCTCACTTGTTTCTGCTTTGAGTCAGGGTCATCTAGTTCTGCCTGGCCTGGGACTCACTGTCCCAAGTCAGGCTGTCTTTGAACACACAGATCTGCTTGCTCTTGCTTCCTGAGTGCTGGGATGAAAGGCCTGCACCATTACACCTGGTCAGAGAAGCTATAGTCTCTTAGAGAGATGTAAACTTCAGCTTAGATCATGTAAGGAAATTGCCAGGGTCCCCCAAGAACTAAATGGTGCAGTCAGTATTTGAACCCCCAAAGACCCAGCTCCAGGGCTTGACATTCCCAGGTACGGGGTTACGTGGCACTAATTGGTTTTGATGGTCTGTGTCGACTTTTAGAGCCTGATAGGCCCAGAGCGTCCATCACAAGTGTGAGTTAGATGGGCTTTGGGGCCCAGGGTGCAGAGACTGGGCCCTCCCCTGATCTGATTGACAAGCCCTGTATCTCCATGGATCTTAGCCAGAACCAGTTAGAAGCGAGTGCCTGCCAGAGGTTGTGAGGTAACACATAGGAGGGACGTCCAGTCACTTTGGGCTTTGCATCAATGACAGCATTTTATTGTGTCTCTCAATGTTGGGGGCATACTGAATTATCCATAATCTGAAATTCAGAATGAGCCTGAGTGTTGGTCATTTTGTCTGCAAGATCTGTACCCTATGGAGGGCAGCTGGGACACTGTGGCTGCCCCCTTTCAGCTCCACCCTGTGTCCTTAAAGACGCTGGAGTGCACTAGGTGTGTGTGTGGGGAGGTGAAAAGAAGCAGTTGTCCCAGGCTCTGTGAAGGAAGTCTGTCCCTAGCTGGGCCCCACCCATGCACCTCCGGAAGCTTGCAGGAGCTGAGCTGAAGCCACTCAGATTGGACTAGACCTGTGTTCCAAGCTGGAGGAGCCGGCGGTGGGGAAGCCGACGGTGGTCATGAGGCCCGTGTGTTGAGTGCTATACTAACCTCTGCCCCCTCCTCCCACCCCTGTCCTCCTGAGCCAAGGAGTGTGATTATCTTATCCCCGCCATGCTGACAAGCAGGTGGCAGTTGTTTGAGGTCAGGTTCGTCTGTGGATGGTCGGTCCCTTGGCTTTGATGCCAAAGTCTGCCAGATGATCAGGGCTGGCAGGACCTGGCCCTCCTCCTGGGTAGCCCTTGAATTCAGCTGTCCTGGGGCATCCTACCATCTTATCCATCAGGCCACCAAGTGTTTGCACAGGACACACCAGAATGTATTAAGTTGAGGTCTGGGAAGTCCCCACCTTCTCCTCCTTAGGAAATAGTAAAGGCTTATTTTGTTTTCTTGTCATAGGGTACCACTTGCCTGGCAAGTTCTCTCCCACTGAGCCACAGTCCACAGCCCCAAACAAAGGGTTAACCTCATGGCCACTGGACTTCTGCTGACCCACCCTTTTCTAAGTTAAACTTCACTTTCCTCTGCCCTGCCCCTGGCCTTGCAGATCCTGACAGTGGACGGAGTGGCTTTGGGGCCAGGCTTGGACACTGAGTTATTTGTGTGACCTTGTATCAGTTTTGCTCACTGTAAAAAGGGGTGGAAAACAGGCTGTGCCTTCTGGTGTGTGGGAGGGGTATTAAAAACTCAGACCAGATGTGCCCCAGTGGGGGGGGGGGGGGCTGCGGTGTACATCTTGGGATGTACTGCGGTGTAGCACTTGGGAGGCAGAGAGGCAAGTGCGTCTGGTCTCTGTGTGAGTTCGAGACCAGCCTGGTCTAATAGCGAGTTCCAGGACAGCCAGGGCTACACAGAGAAACCCTGTCTTGGGGGAAAAAAAAGAAACAAACAAACAAACCCATCTCAGAACTGAAAACAAGTCCCTGAAACAAAGAAAACTCAGGACAGGTGGTCTTGATCTTGCCTTTGCATCTGAGCCGCTGTTGGGCGTTCTGACTGGATCTAGTGAGCTGGGTCTCTGTAGCGTGAGTCTCCTCCATTTGGCCCTGTAGACAGAGCGAGCAGTGGGTTCCTTGGGGTGGGCTCAAGGAGCAGGTGGGGCTTTGGTGGAGTTACTGCAGACTGAGGCTTCCACCCAGGAGTGATGTGGGCAGGTGTGGGGATGGCAGTTGTAAGACCTGGCAAGGACCTGCTTCCCCTGAAGTCAAGGTTCCCTCGGAATAGATGCTCTCCTCTCTCTGTGGAAATACACACCATCCCATCACACAGAGGGGGCCCATATTCCCCATCCAGCACCCAGTGACCTCTGCTGCCCTGGCCTGTTGGCCTTGTCTGGGGAAGAGCCAGACAGCCTGCTGTGGCTGCGCTCTTGTGAAAGCCAGCTCAGGCTGGGCTCCCTTCCTGCTGTGGCCTGGCCCGAACAGTTTCTGTTTGAGAAGCCTGGTCTCCTATTTCCCTGAGTAAGAGCTAGCAGGGACTGGTCTGTGCTCACAGCTGGCCACTGGCCCCTCCCCTGTGAACTTCCAGGAAAGGCTGGGCCATTTGATTCTGTTTCTCCCTGCAGCTTTCTTGGAAGTCCTCTCTGATGGCTGATTATATTCCTTTTACAAAGATGGAGAAACTAAGGCAGGAGAGGCTTAGTCTTCCCCCATCCCCACCCAGAAAGGGTTTCTCAGTGTAACAACCCCGACTGTCCTGTACTTGCTTTATAGACCAGGCTGGCCTTGAACTCACAGAGACCCACCTACCTCTTCCTCCTAAGTACTGGGATTAAAGGTGTGTGCCATCATGCCCACCTTGAAGCTTAGTCTCTTGATAGGGTTCCTCTCCCATGGGTGCCCTGCACTCACTCTCTGCCATACTCACTCGAGACGGGGTCTCTCACTGAATCTAGGGCTCGGCTGACAGCCAACAAGCCCCTATGAGTCTCATGTCTCATCCTGAACATGGAGCTCACTGACTGAGCTAGACTAGTTGGCCAGTGAGCCCGGGGATCCCCCTGCAGAGTTCCTGCCTGTCTGTCGGCTCTGGTCCAGTGCACTGCCCTGGCCTCCAGGAAGCCTCTGCCTGGGCCACGCCTTCCTCCCACTCACGGGGCTGGTCCTGGCTCCCCGCCTGACCTGACTTTGCTCATCCTCAGCACTCAGCCCAGATGCCCACTCCAGCTGACAGTGCCCTCTATGGCATCTGCCCTCCTGTCCTAGCTCTCCGGGCAGTGCCCTTTATCCAGAGCCAGGGCTGGGATTTCAGGGATGCCAAACACCGTAAAAGGGTGTTACAGAAATACAGGCAGGCCGGAGGGATTTTTGTCCTTGGCGTGAGGACATGTTTGTGATGTCTCCTGCAGGGAAGTCTCAAGCTCCCCACGGTCATTCAACTTGAAATCTGAGTTGCCAGCTACCGACTGGCTCCTCTCCCCTCTCCCAGCTCTCCCCGCAGGCCTCGGTTAGTCTCCAATCATTATGTAGTTGAGGATGATCTTGAACTTCCGGGCTTCCTGCCTCCACCTCCGAACTGCTGAGATTACAGGTGTGCACAACTCTGCCTGATTTACGCAGTGTATTCAGTGTGGGGATTGGGCTCAGGGCTTCAGGCATGCTGGGCAAACACTACCCGCTAAGGCCCAGCCTGCCCTCCTTGTTCTTCCCTTCTGTGACTGCTGTGGCTGCCTTCCCCTCAGCCCACAACACTGGCCCCAGTGTCCTAAGAACTCACCCCTTGTTAGAGGTCCCTCCCATTTTCCCATTCAGACTTCTGATTCCAGAGCTCATGCCCCGGCCTTCCCAGAGGGACAAGACTGGGGAGAGGTGCCTGTTCCCAGGCGGGTTCATCTTTCTCTTTCACCGCAGACCCTTTGCTGTAATTGGGGTTTAAGACGTTTGTGAGACCCTTGGAGTTGCCAGGCAGGGGTCTCCTATGCGCTCTGTGCTCCCTGTGACACTGCATTCGCAGACTTACCGATGCCTGTCTTTGTGCCATAGGTTATCCTCATGGTTCACTGGCTGCTGACAACCTGGTGAGTGACTCTGGGTGTCTGGCTGCATCCAGTGTGTTGTGTCACCTGGGGTCTGTGTTCACACCTCCCTAGGGTCCGTGTGGACGTGTTCCCAGGTCCTGCCAGCCTGGTCAGGTCCCATCCTGCAGGGTTTCAGCCAGTCACAATTGCCAGTCCATCTGCCCAGGGCTGGGGCTGCCATTGGCCCCTGCCGTAGTGTGTACCAACCAAACCCCTATGTGGGGCTCCAGGATACAACTTGACCTTCCCTGTCACTTCTGTCACGTGTCTGGAGCTTCCAGGAAGATTGCTCTGCCAAAACCAAGTCAGGAAACCACTGAGATCGCGTGTGTTTTGCAGGCTTTGAAGTGCTGTGCGTGTGCGAGCAGCTGTGAGTGCTGTAAACAGCGGAGGGGGTCACTTTCCCTGAGGTCCCACATTGGTGTCTAGGCTAAGACAGGACTGGAAAAAATACCAGGCCTCATCACCCAATTGCCAGTCCCAGCCCTGCTGCTCTCAGGTCCCAAAAAAAACCAGGACACCTGTGGCTCCTCATAGCTCTCCCAGCTCCTCCAGCATCACTCAGAGCCTGTGGCTCCTCCCAGCTCCTCCAGCATCCTTCAGTGCCTATGGCTCCTCCCAGCTCCTCCAGCATCACTCAGAGCCTGTGGCTCCTCCCAGCTCCCCCAGCTCCTCCAGCATCCCTCAGTGCCTGTGGCTCCCCCCAGCTCCTCCAGCATCACTCAGTCAGTATCTGTGGCTCCTCCTACTTCCTCCAGCAACACTCAGAGCCTGTGACTCCTCCTATTTCCTCCAGCATCACTCAGAGTCTGTGGCTTCTCCCAGGCACTTCTCACCTCACCCCCTACCCTAACCTCTTCAACTCAGAGTCTGGGCTTGGCTTCCCTTCCCTGAGATTCTTATTCCTGTGTAACTCAGCCAGTTTTGCTATCCACTCTCCTTGGTTCTGCTCTTGGTGCCTCACCTATTAGGTCTGTGCCTCTGAATCTGTGAAATGAGGCTCATGGGAACACCTCCCTCCAGAAGCAGCTGTGAACGAATGGATTTAGAGTGTGCGGGGCAGAGCCAGGTCCCAGGAAAGCCCCATGTTAACTGTGATAAGCCACTCTGCAAGCAGACTAGGTGCTGTCAGTTGACAGGTGCCCTGAAATCGACAGCAGGGAGGCCATGGGTCAGGCCGGGGGATCTAAGGCAACTTTGAGCTCCAAGATAACGAGAAATGGCTGCACAATCAGGAAACCAAAGCTACAGGGGCAGCCGGGAGGTAAGGGTGGGGCTCATGGGAGCCCCATAGACCACAGCATAGAAGGCATTCCAAACAGGTCAGGGAACTGCTGGGAAGGTTGGCGTGGAGGAATCACAGGATCTGGCCCACACACGGCTTGCTGTTTCAAAAAGTGCCAGCAGAGGGGCAAGAGTGACAGTAAGACCTGCACAGAGGAGCTGCGGGCCCTGTACCAGCAGGAGAGGATGGATGAGGCCAATTCAGGAAGCCAGTGGCCTGTTCTCAGGAGACTAAGGCCCTGGAGCAGGAGGAAGGAATTGTGGCTGCTCAGGGTGGTGATGGCCTAATTGGTTGTGTCTTTCTATGCAGGGGCTGCTTAGTGTTCCCAGGCTCCTATGCCTGGAGCAACTTCACTATCCTGGCCCTGGGCGTGTGGGCTGTAGCCCAGCCGGACTCTATTGATGCCATAGGCATGGTGAGTAGGGAGTGGGGTAGGAGAGAGCAAGGAACTAGTTTCATCCGTGTGCCCCGTATCCACCCCAGGCTTCTCTCTTCCTCTGTTCTAAAGCCTTGTATGGAAGCCTCCCAGGATGGAGAGCCGCTAGCTGGGCTAACTATACAGCGCCCCACCACATAGGGTGGAGGCCACTGAACCCCAAGACTGGCTATCCTCCCAAGCAATCTGACCTGCTTCAGGGTTGTCTTCTCGGGGGAAAAGGATGGGACTGGGAGGCCTGGACAAGAGGGAATGCCCTTCCTTTACGGACTTCGAGTTGACACTGACCTGAGGTACCCAGCTTTTCACAATGAGGCCATGGCTTCTTAGGACTGCAGAGGGATTTTTCCTTGTTTCCTTGTAGTATAAACAAATGGTACCGACACCAAGGGATTGTCCCTCTCAAATTCTGGAGCCAAGTGTTGGCCTCCATCATGGCCCTAGTGGCAGGAAACGAGGGTAGGGAATTCTGGGGCAACAGGCTAGAGCCAGATTCCTGTGTCCTGCTCCTAGGACATGCAGGTGTCATCATAAGATCTATTCCAGGCTGATATATGTGAGGGAAACTTGGGGTCTGGGGGTGGTGTCAGTGCCCATGATCCCATGGTGGTGTTTCTCGCAGTTTCTTGGCGGCTTGGTGGTCACCATCTTCCTGGACATTATCTACATCAGCATCTTCTACCCAACTTCTGTCATTAACGACACTGGGCGCTTCAGCGCCGGCATGGCCATCCTCAGCTTGCTGCTCAAGCCCTTCTCTTGCTGCCTCGTCTACCACATGCACCGTGAGCGAGGGGGTGAGCTCCCACTCCGCCCAGGTAAGTCCTACTCTGTTCTGCCACTCCCTGGTCCATCAGGCAAGCAATCATTGCTGCAAAACCCTGGGCCCCAACTGTCAGTCTGGTGTGACTCTTCATTCCTGCTGTCAGACTTCCCTCAGTCCAGAGCGTGTGAGAAGCCAGGAAGGTGTTCAGCTCCCAAGGGCAGTGGGCAGCCTCTGGTTTGGGCCTGCAGGTGGCTGCAGGAACAACTTCCTTGTGTTTCCACCTAGCCCTGGCTCTGAAGCTGTGCTCTCCTGCCCTGTGGGATGTGCCCATCATGGACAGACACAATGCTAGGCAGGCAGCGATGATGCCGCTCCTGGGCAAGCAGGTTTTACTGTTGGCCAAGGGAGCCCAGTGTGCCAGTCCTCTCTTCACTGCCGTAGCCAACACTGTCCTCTCTGACCCTGTTCTGGGGGAGCTGGAGGGTCCCCAGGTGGCCTGTGGCTCCCCACTCTGGATTACCTCAGCATCATCTAGACCTGCCCAGGAGTGGAGGGAACAGATAAGAGCTGGAAGCCCGCTGCCCTTGGAACTTGTTCACCGTCTCAGAACAAATGTGCCAGGGGAGGAGTGTGAGAGACGTGGCTGCCTTCCATCTTGTCCTTACCCTCAGCCTTAGCCTTCTGGGAATAGCAACTGTGCCAAGCTCTGGGGCTTCTAGATGCAGTGCTATGCATGGATCCTTGTGCCTGGCCGAGAGCAGGAGAAACCTGTGGGCCAGGGGTAGATTCCCTATGGGCTGCTGGGAAGCCACGAACCATAGGACCTGCTACTTAGGTTTGAACTCCAGTGTCCTCTATTTCAAGTCACATACAAGCCACATACTACCAAATCAGTTGTCTCTCTGACCCTCAGGTTCCTCATTTTCAAATCTGTGCCCCATACAGACATGAGTCAGGGCTTCTGCTGCTGCTGTTGGTATTAGGATGCCGAGCACTAACCACACCTAGGGTGGATGCGTCTGTACTCAGCTGAAGGCCCCACAGTCTCATTTCCCTGTCCTCTAGGTTTCTTCGGACCTTCTCAGGAGCACAGTGCCTACCAGACAATTGACTCATCAGACTCACCCGCAGCCCCCTTTGCCAACCTGGAGGACAAGGGCCAAGCTGTCCCCCGGGGGTACTGAAGCTGTCCCCTCCTTTCTGGACCTACAGTGGCATGTCTTCCGTTCCCCATCACAGATGTCTGAGCCGAGTGCCTTGGAGGTCATGATCCTCTGGCTTCCCAGCTGAGAAGAGCCAAGCCCTACCTCTCCAGGGAGCCCTCCCTTCAGTGCACATGTAACCCCTGGCTTGAACCGCGGTCGCTTTCTTCACCTCCTACTCCATAACTATACCATGCCCTTGCCAAGCAGTGCAGATTGCTCCAGGGCCAGGCCTCTCAGGCCCTAAGACGGTCCAGCCCTTCCTAGAAGCTCTGCGAGCTTCTGGTCCTGCTCGACCTCTCCTGCATAGGAGCAAAGTCCATGTGCTTGTCACTGCCTGATGGATTGGTGCCTGGGACAGGGGTGGTAGATCTGCAGAGGCTCCTTTCAGAGCCCTGGCATTAAAATTCAGGGGTTCTACGGCTGGGCTGTGTTTGAGCCGTGTATCGTCTCCCAGCTGGGATCTGGCTTACCCTTTTGGTATGATTTCACCTTTGAATCAGTTGCAGGATGAGCCTGAGTTGAGCCACCATTTATATTGGGCCTGGTGGAAGGAAGGGCCCCCTGTGGGTCTGGCCAGAGGAACCTCTCCAACCAATGGGAGAGACAGGAAGTGCTGGTCAGCATGGCATGTAGCCGCTCTCCTTTGACTCAGATGACCTGGCACTGGTCTAAATCTTGCTCTGCCACTCAGCTGACATGTTCTAGGAGAGAGGTGGTTATGACCTCCAATGACAGGGGTCTGAGTGTCTGGTACCCAACTGCACTGCCCCTGGAGCCAGCTGTAATACTGAGCTGTGAGGCAAGGCACGGGTGGCTTCCTCTACCCCTGTGTTCTGACCACAATTGACTGCCTCCTGACGTGGCAGAACCAGGGTCCCACTGTTACTCAATTGCCAGATCAATGGGGACAGATACGTGAAGACTTGTGGGAGCCACAGGCGGAGGTGAGGGGCCTGAAGAAGCATGAGGCTGTTGACAGGCAGGGAGGCTGAGTGACAGCAGCTGTCATCCTCACTGAGCCTAGTGTGAGCAAACGGGGTGAAGAGCAGCATGTACCACTAGAGGGCGTTAGTTGTGCCTCAGCCTCTCAGAATCCTTAGGGTTGTTTAGAGTGTGTGCAGCATGGTCTAAAACATGAGCTGGGGCCCAGGGAGACGCTCAGCAAACAAAAGGTGTCTACTATCGAGCCTCAAGATCTGCGCTTGGTTCCTGGAACTGAGCTCCGAAAATTGTCCTCAGACTCCACACATGCCATGGTGTGAGGTCGCTCCCCACAAAAAAAAATACATGTTAAAAATAACCCAGAATACTGAAAACATGCCCTAGGACACATGTCAGGTTCACGATCGCAGGGACATTGGAGGAGGAAGCACGTAGGCTCACGGGAACAGGATGAACACAGAGTTTTCTCATGTTCCTGTAGTTCCTAGCAGGAGGAAGGCCTGGGGTCAGTACCCGTGTCCTCAGAGTAGGTCAGGCTTGTGGAGACGGAAAGTGAGGGAGGGGCTAGGCCAGGTCACAGAGCCTGCAACCCTGTCCTCCTGGTCCCGGGTTCCCAGTTTAGGAAGGCCAGAGGAGGGGCATCTGAAGGGCTCTCCAGAGCAGACTGAGGCTAGAGCAGGGGAGCCGGGCATTCTCATTTGTCAAGGCCTGTCCGGGCTGGAGAGATGGCTCAGAGGTTAAGAGCATTGCCTGCTCTTCCAGAGGTCCTGAGTTCAATTCCCAGCAACCACATGGTGGCTCACAACCATCTGTAATGAGGTCTGGTGCCCTCTTCTGGCCTGCAGACATACACACAGACAGAATATTGTATACATAATAAATAAATAAATAAATAAATAAATATTAAAAAAAAAAAGGCCTGTCCCATGGTGAGTGACAGACTTGCAGCTGATGGAGGAGAGCCCCTGAGTCAAGCAGAAGTATTGAGGGGCACCAGTGCTGCCTGCTTGCTTTACATGGTAAGGGAACATCCGGTGTCAGAGTGACGAGAAGAGACATACCATCGAGGCAGGAGTGGACAAGAGAGGGTCCAAGTGGAGGGCCAGCTCTCAGGAAGCCGGAAGCAGGAGCTCCAGCCTGCCTGTGGTCAGGAAGCAGGTGTGACTGGAGGGTTGATCTCACACAGCAGAGGAGGAAGTCGGCGCCACCATCGAGACTGGCTGAGACTGGCTTTCACTGAGAGCACGAGAGAGCATGCTTCAGAGTCCGAACCTGAATTTGATGGTTGGTACACCCTAGAAGGATACTTTCCCTCTGTCGGGGGCTGTGGGGTGTGGAAGCCGTCAACTCCTGGACACAGTTTGGAGGTGGGCCAGCAGGTTCTGCAGACGCACTGCAGGGAGACAGAGGCCAGCTATCATTAATAGCAAGACCAGGGCTGGAGCCTGCAGTTGCCACTGACCAGAGAGGAGCGGAGCACACAGGCAGGCAAGGCTCAGAAAGGCTGCGTTTGTAGAATGGAGCTCTTCAGCCAGCTGTCCTCACTGCCACCTGCCTCTGGTGCCTCGGCTCCCTGTGGTGATTCGGACACAGGACAGCTCCCAGGTTTAAGTCCAGAGACTGCCACTCTATGGAGGCCTCTTACCTCTGGTCTGCAGAACTCAAGTCCCTGTCCAGATTGCAAATCCATCCAGCTGAACCATGCCTTAAATCTCAAAGGTGGCCAGGTGGTGGTGGTGCATGCCTTTAATCCCAGCCCTCAAGAGGCAGGGGCAGGTGGAGCTCTGTGGGCTCTAGGCCAGCCTGGTGTACAGAGCAAGTTCTAGGACAGGCTCCAAAGCTACAGAGAAACCCTGTCTTGAAAAACAAAACAAAAAACAAAACCAAAACAAAACAAAAAAAGCCTCGGGCTGGAGAGATGGTTCAGTGGTTAAGAGCACTGACTGCTCTTCCAGAGGACCCCGGGTTCAAGTCTCAGCATCCACATGGTAGCTAACAACTCTCTATAACTCCAAGATCTGACACCCTCACACTGACATATATGCAGGCAAAACACCAATGCACATAAAAGTAAATAAATTATTTTTTTAAGAAAAAGAAAAAAGAAATCTCAAAGGTATACCAGTGAGATGACTCACAGGAAGGGCCTTGTCACTAAAATCTGAGATTGCTCTCTGGGACCTGATTTCTGCGAGTTATCCTCCAGTGTCCTTATTTGTACTGTGGCAATGCCCCCTCCACAGATAAATGTAATTAAATCCTAAAGGTACCCCGAAACCTCTGTATAAGAGAAAAGTATTTCATTTTGCTTTTTGAAACAGGGTTTCTCTGTGTAACTCTAGTTGTCTTTGAACTAGCTCTGTAGACCAGGCTGGCCTCGAACTCACAGAGATCTGCCTGCCTCTGCCTCCTGAGTGCTGGGATTAAAGGTGTGCGCCACCACTGCCAGCCTAGATAACTGTTTTTAATCTCATTGTGCCTCAGTTTCCGGACCTGAAAAGTGGGAATAAGATGGGCTCTTGAGGTGGCTCAGTGGGCGAGGGAACACACCATCAAGTCTCATGACCTGGGTTTGGTTCCTAGGACCCATATGGTATAAGAAGAGAAAGCTACTCCTAAAAGCCGTCTTCTCATCTCCACGTAGATGCCATGGCACTTGGGCACACGTAAACAATAAAAATGTAAATTAAAGTGAGGATAAGAATCGTGTGACTCGGACTAGCGACGGTTGAGAACAGTGTCACCCCGATGTTCAATAAATGTGACAGCCTGTATTGCTGTGATACTTCACAAGAGGAAGGGTGACCAGTCCACACAAATAGCTGTTCCTTTAACACCTGTGTAAGCATCGTGGGGGTGCCTTTGAAGGATTTCAGAAGGCTGGAGGTACCCTCCCAGCGCTGTGTGAGTCAGAGACACTCTGTGGAGTCAGTGGACGGCTCTGAGACTGGAGGCCGGAGAGAGAGCTAAGCTCTTTCCTGCCTCAGTGACTGGAAAATGGATTAAAATTCTGTACATTCTGAACTAGCTATGACCCAGAATATGAAAGAGTCAGTCTGTTGGTGCCTCCCCCCCCCCCCCCCCGCCTCCGCCGCCAGCGAACTCAGGGTTCCCAGCTCTCAAACTGATCTGGGGACACACACAGACTTGGAAAGAGGAGCCTTGGGCAAGGTCTAGAGTGAGCAGATCTCAGAGCTGGAATGTGCTGTATAGAGGCTGGGCTTATAGAGGCTGGGAATTTAAAAAGAGGACATCCACTTCTACAGGTGACAAACTCGGCTATAAAGCAGAAACTCAATGCAGCAGAGAGACCTGAGGACCAGTGGCCTGCAAGGCAAGTTTTAAGGAGTCTCTCAGAAAAGCAGCCAAGAGACACATAGAGGTTCAGTGAGGTTACTGTTATGCCCAAATCCGTGAAGTCCCCCAAAAGCCAACAAGAAGACTGAGTCCCGTATGTAAAAGCAAAGAGCCTTTATTTTATGCAAGTTTGCAAACTCGGTCTCTCTGCATGTCCAATGTATTGGAATAAACAGAAAACCCAGAGCTCAGTTAGAGTTGGGTTTTTATAGTGGTAAAGGTGGGGATAAGGGGTTTCTGAGGTTCAGGACCCCTGATTGGCTGACATTTGTCTAGGGGTGTCCTGGAGTGTGTGCTGGCAGGTGATCCTATCTACAGTGGTTGGAACGTTAGGCATGTCTTTGGATGGTCTGTTCTTGGGTGGTGCTCAGGTAATCTCAGTTTGTGATTCTTCCTGCAACCAGGTATTGCTTCAGGGTAAACTACTAAGACTCAGGCCTCTATTAAACTTATTATCATGGCTGAGTCCTACTCTGGCAGGTATAATGGTTGGAAGTAAAGAACTTCCAACTGATCTGTTCATATTTAGCTAACCTGCTGGCCCCTACATTTATGAGATGAGGTTGCAGGAACGTGGTCAAAAGGCTCCGTCCACCAGGTTTAGAAAGATACTTGACATGGGTTTGTTTTGTTTTGTTTTTGAACCTTGTTTTTATTGTTTTAAACTTACTTGTTTTACAGGGCTCACTATGTAGTGCTGGCTAGCCTGGAACTCACACAGATCCGCTGGCTTCTGCCGCCCAAGTGCTACCACACACACCTGGCTTGACACAGCCTTAGAAGAAAGGGGTAGGAAGAAGGCTAGAGAGTAATTCGGTGGGAAAGATCCTACCTAGTATGCACAGATCGTGGGTTCAATCCCCAGCACCACTTAAAAAAAGTGGGGGGATGTGTCGGAGGTGGGGGTGGAGTGGGTGTCACAGAAAGTTTGGGAATTTGTCTAAGGCCACCCAACAGCATAAGCCTTGGGACTTGCGTCCGGGCTCCTTCCACTTGCCTGTCACGAAAAAGCACACATTGCAGAGTACACTGCGGAGCAAAGGCTTGCAGTGTGGAAAATGCTCGAGGTTTGAAGGGAAGCGTGATGGACCAATATAGCAAAGTGTGCCGAAGAGAGGATGGGGCATGGTTTCCAGCCACTTCTGGGGAGGACCTGCGGCCTGGACCACAATGTCAAAAAGAAAAGTCTTCTCATAGCCATATGCCTTGGAACTGAGATGCAGGTCTTCGGCCAGAACCTCAGCTGCACCTGCAGCTCATTCGGACCTAGGCACACGCATGCATCTGTAACTTTTGCTTGCGAACGTGCAAGGCACCCTGGGGGCGGGGCGGAGCTAGGCGAGCACGCTCTCGTCTTTGAAATTCTTCCACCTCACACTTAACGTGGTCGTTAGCGGTCTCAGGCGGGGAGTCCCTCCCGGTTCAAACCCGGTTGGTCAAAGGTAAGGTCCGAAGGAAGAGTGAGGGCAGGAAACTGGTCACAGGCTCCTGTGGTGAGAAAAGTGAGGCTCCTTATATGGGCGTGAGGCTGAGAGGGCGGGACTTAAAAAACGGGCGCGGCAAGCGAGGCACCCCAAGCTTACAAACCAGCCCTCTCAGCAGAGCCGCCCAGCTGTGGGACTGTGCAACCGGCTGGTGGTCTTTCTAAATCCCAGTAGCTTCGTTTCTAGAACCGGAAAACAATCTTAGGACTGACGGCAGTGTAGAATAAACAGCAGAATTCCTGCTAATGGCTGAGCTGGTGTTTAGCGTGGTTCAGTCACTTCACACGTTTATAAACGCAGCTGTGTGCCAGGCTATTCTGTATGCTGCGTGTGTATAGGAGGGACCATCATCTCTTCAATACACACAGTGACTGTACGTGCCAGGAGGGGCACATGCAGGTCACAGGGAATAAGAGGTGGGCAGCACGCTGCCATGGATGATAGAAGGACTCGCTGCATTTAAATTTGGGAAGGAGGGAATAAGGTAGAGGGGAAGGGACGGAGGGACAAAAAAAGAAAAGGGAAAAGGCTGGCGATGTGGTTCTGTAGTGTGCTTGCCTAGCATCCTAGCATGCAGAAAACCCAGAGTTCGCGCTCCAGCGCGGCACAGACTATACTAGGTGTGGAAGCACAAGCCAATAATCTCAACACTTGGGATCATCCTTGGCTATACATAGCAAACTTAGGGTTATTCTGATCTCCAAAGCAGAAGAGAGACTGGCGAGATGGCTCCGTGGTTGAAAGCACTCATTGCTCTTCCAGAGGACCCAGCTTTGGTTCCCAGCACCCACGTGATGACTCACAGCCACTTGTAACTCCAGATCCTGGGGATCTGATATTCTTAGATGGGCATGGTGGTGCATGCCTTTAATCCCAGTACTTGGGAGGCAGAGGCAGGTGGAGTTTTGTGAGTTTGAGATCATGATGGTCTGTATAGTGAGTTCTAGGCCAGCCAAGGTTTACATAGACCTTGCCTCAAAAGAAAAAAAATC